GGCGGCTGCTCCCGGGGCTGCTACTGCTGGGGCGGCTGCTCCCGGGGCTGCTGCTGGTGGGGCGGCCGCTCCAAGGGGTGCAGCTGCTGGGGCTGCTGCTGGGGCGGCTGCTCCTGGGGCTCCTGCAGCGGAAAGTAGGAGGTAGGGGAGGTGAAGGGCGCGGCCCCCATTGTGCCCTGAAGGGCGACGTGCTGGGGAGCCGCGCCGGTCCCCGAATGTGCCTCGACGGGCAACAAGAGGGGACCGCGCGCAGGCCCCTAAGGTGCCGCGATGAGGTAACGGGAGGGGCCGGCGCGCGGGCCCCGAAAGTGCCGCGACGAGGCGACGGGAGGGACCTGCGTGCGGGCCCCCAAAACGCCGCGACGAGGCGACGGTCGGGGCCAGCGCGCGGGCCCCCAAGACGCCGCGACGAGGTAGGTACCCGCCGCGCGCCTCGGGGCGCACGGCGGGCAGAAAACCGCCACGCGCCCCGAGCGCGTGGCGGGAAGAAAAATAGGTGGTCGCGCGCCACGGGGCGCACGACACACAATAGGGCAGCGGAATCGAGTGGGCCCACAGGCCAGGAGCGCTAAGCTCTAATACCATCTCAGAATCTTAAGCAAGGGTAGGCTTAGAAGCCATAGTGTAGGTGCCTAGGTGATCGAGTTCGAGAGGGTTAGGAAAGTATCGAGAGATTTTTGAAAGAGAAGGGGTTTCACTAGCAAGAGTTGGGATACAAGTACAATGCCCTAAATTGGGTTGTACTCATTACAGAGTACCCCACTGCAGGCTAGACAGCAAATATATTCTGACAGTTCCGATTTCACAGTCGGGAAAACAAAATTTCCGAGACGTTGTTCGATGAAATTGATTATCGACAGCAGAAGCCGTTTCTAGATTTTGGCAAGTCAGCATCTGCATTCGACGCGGAAAATGTCAAGCTGCGCATTCTCCCCATTCGTCAAAACGAAAGATTTCGACAGACGGAGCAAAGCGGTCGAGAAATTTATTTCAGTCGACCAAGCATATCTTGTCAGACTTTATATTATTTATATTTGTAACTGCTTGTAGCTGTAGTTAGTGTAGTTATTGCAAATTTTGTTAGGTGGTGCACCCTTTTGTTTCCTATGCTATATGTTCCTTGAACCTATAGTGAAACTCACTTTTCACCTTCACAACTTTCTCGACTCTCCCCCCTTGGGCCCAACTCACTCGATACCTAAGTTGGGCCTAGGCTCCTAAGCCTAGGCCCTTACGTTCTAATTTCTTTAACATGGTTATCAGAGCAGTTTGGTCCTGGCCTGTGGGCCCGACCAAAGCTTCCGCTGCTGAATTTCTGGTCGCGCGCCTCGGGCGCGTGACGTCTTTTTTTCTACCCGTCGCGGACCCGCCCCTGGCGCCCGCGACGGCGCTCTGAGCCGTCGCGGACCCGCCTCTGGCGCCTGCGGCGGTGCCCTGAGCCGTCGCGGACCCGCCTCTGGCGCCTGCGGCGGTGCCCTTGAGCCGCCGCGGACCCGCCATTGGCGCCTGCGACGGTGCTTTCCGCCCCTGCACTCCCTGAAGCCGCCCCTGACACCACTGCACCGACACCTTTTCGCCGCTCTGCGGCTTTCTTCCTTCCCACCCCCCTCCTCCTTTGTCTCCCTGCAGCCGCGGGGAGGAGGGTATGGGGGTGGAGGGTGTTGGAGTGTGGGTCGTACCCTTCCCTTCCCCTCCTCCTCCTTTTGTTCCCACTGCTGCAGCTGCCGCTGGGGGGGAGGGTGTGAGGGTGTGGGGGAGCAGGGGGAGAGGCGCCGGGGTGACGGGTGTGAGGCAACCAGCAGCCGTCCCTCCACCTCTCCTCTCTTCCCCCCCTCTCTACTGCTCCTGCAGCAGTGTGGGGGAGGGGAGGGAGGAGGGTGAGGTGATGGAGGGGGTGACCAGTTAGTGTCTGCCCGCCTGCAGTACCTGCTGTTGCTTGGTTATTATCTTGCTTGTGTTGCTTGTGTACCCCTGCAAGTTGTGTTCTGCACAAACTTCTGCTGCAGGCAGTTATGGGGGAGTGTCAGACTTTATATTATTTATATTTGTAACTGCCTGTAGCTGTAGTTAGTGTAGTTATTGCAAATTTTGTTAGGTGGTGCACCCTTTTGTTTCCTATGCTATATGTTCCTTGAACCTATAGTGAAACTCACTTTTCACCTTCACAACTTTCTCGACTCTCCCCCCTTGGGCCCAACTCACTCGATACCTAAGTTGGGCCTAGGCTCCTAAGCCTAGGCCCTTACGTTCTAATTTCTTTAACATATCTATCGCCGCCAGCACCCTGTTTCACTTCTCTTTGTAGCATCGAGACTCACAATCACATAGATAATCAACAATGCTCGAGTTTTACTATACGTTAATACATATCGTGAACGTGGACAATCGACACAAGCAATGTTATTGTTGCAGTAGAGTTTGGCAGCTGCATTTAATTACCCCGTCGAACAGACCATAATTGTCTATGTAATAAATACAGAAAAAGCATCATATTCAACAAACTATAGCTTTCCAAATGATATGATTTTTACACTACCTGAAAAGATTGGTAGTTCACCTATGGCAGTGATTGGTTTTCAAACTCTCTTCGACAACACTTCGCTTTATGTCGACGATGGGACGGTCGACGACAAAAATGCTGTCGCAGGCTCTGCTCGACGGGATCCAGTCGATGACGCCGACGTGCATTGCTAATGCATATTAGTTGTCGACGAAACCCTTCGATGGGCACTGCTCGGCGTGCTGTGCTTGACGAGCTGGTCTCGGCGAATGCTGTTCGACCAAGCAGCGCCGAGCTGGTCGGTGAAAGTAACGCCTGACCCCTCGTCTTCGTAGTCGGTTGAATCGGTCCCTGCAGCGTGCTAGAAAGGCTGGCCCCGGTGGTACAAGAATGCATTCTCATTAAGTTCATATTCACTGGCTCTACGGTGCACGGGTAGCGAGCGAAACCGTCGACAGGTGTTCTACCTGACACCTGCGCATGAATAATATTAAAATTGATGATTACGTATAAATGAGAATTGTAGGGAATGCCCCTTTTTTTGTGCCTCCTATTCCTTATCAAGTTTGCCCATTGCAGTTTATGTATTTATTTGTTTACGTATACGCTTTTATTTCAGTGTCAGCTGTGCTCTGTATCGAGCTGGTCTGTGGCGCGTTCTGCCGCGCTTTTCTCTGCACCACTTTCCGTCGGTTCGAGACGGAATCCGTCGACGGAGGCAGATTTACTCGACGAACAGGGGGGTTGGTGCAGGCGGGGCTGGTGCAGACCGGGGGGAGCACGTGGGGTCAACGCCAGCTCGAGCGAGGACCACCTCGCGTCACTCCGAGCTGGCGTGGCTCGATTCGGGCGGGCGGGTGGGCTGGCTCCCGCCCCTCGCGTGCCCCGCCACGCGACAGAGGGAAAACGAAAATCCCTCCGAGGGAAACCCGCAGGGGCGAAGGGGAGTCCTCGGAGGGATTCGGGCGAGGTCTTCCCAAAACCATCATGATGGTACAGTGAATTTCTCATGATGTGTATTACATGGTTCAAACTTTGACCAGGAAAGTTATTTATAGAACCGTTTCCCATCATACTGTTAGTTCTTGATTTCACACTGCACCACGACACAACTACTCATTCATTGACTTTCCCTTATCTCTCCTATGGAACCATGACATGCCCATTCTTGGGAGATAAGGCACATACATGCACACAAACGTACTTGGAGGAATACGATTCTTCTACCGTCTCTGTGCAATTCGTATGCTCCATGGCGGGGAGACTTTTTGTTTGATACTACTACACCCTCTTTCTCGCCATTGTGAATTCGGTTATAGTGAAGTCAAGATAGGAAAAGCACGGTTAACGGTGGTTAGATCAAGTCTAGGTATGGTTCAATCAGACAAATCGAAGGTAACTAGGTTTTCCATCAGTTCAGCACAGTTCAGTGTAGTGAGAAACAGGGTGTAGTCAGGCAAAGCTACTTGTGCTACTATGCCGTATTTGAACGCGGATCGTGCTATGCTCTCAGCAGCTCGCACCGTCAGCGGGCTTCGAATTTCTGAATTGATGGCTTCGTTTCAGCTGTTTTCCGTTCCGAAGCATTGCGGGATTGTGACGTTGAAATGCTGACTATGCCTCGTGCCGGCTTCCACGCCCCAGCGACTTGCTAAGTCGGATGCTTAGCAAAACGATACCCCTACGTATAACTCCACTCCCTAACGGTCCCATCTCAACAATCCCTAACCCTATCAACCCGATCTCTCCTGTCAGATCCTGGACGTTCACATTCAGCGGAGTCGGAAGTCCAGATTGGCACCTCTTGGCCGTACAACAATAGACGATTTATTCTCTAGAATGTTCTTGGTAGATTCACCCAGCTTTCACGTTTCGATCCTGAGCGACTTGGGGTGCGGGTATTCTCGCAGCTGCGTCCATGGGAGGCTGTCTGGGAACCAGCAAGAACCACCCCGACCATCATGTACCGCAACAGATCGCTTCGAATCAGGTTTGTGCATTCTGGTTCGACCTTCCACCAGCTACTTACTATTCTCGCCGCTGCGTCCATGGGAGGTTGTCTAGGAACCGGCAAGAACCACCACCCGTCGCAACCGATCGTTTCGGATCAGGTCCGTCGAATCTCGCTCCGTTTCACGAGTCGCGCGCACGATGATTTGATTGAGAATAAGAGCCACGGATTTTAGTAGGTATGTCGGTATGTCAGAAGTAGTGCTTGGATCTGCGTTAGAATCTCATTCAACGTACATTCCAGTTTAGGCTTGAATCTCTTGTGTACGTCAGGAGCGTTAGCCTTTTAGAATGAGTGCTGAAGAGACGAAGAGGTGAATCTGGAGTCGACCCAAAGGTGGTGGTCTGTCGAATCGCGCTACACGAGATACGCGTTAGAGACTCGTCGGCTGTGCAGCAAATTCGTGTTTTTTTCAGAGAGCACGTGTCTGATCCAATCCCCCATATACACACATTCACACCATCCCGATCCTCTCTGTCGACGCGAGCTATGCAGAAAGGCGCAGATGAAGCTCCGGTCAGGACTCGCCCCACTCGCCCCACGCGCAGTCGGTCGGAAGCCGCGGCTACCGCGTGCCTTCCCCCCCGCTCACCCAAGCACTACTACCGCCGAACGGATGACCTCACGACGAGAACGGATAACGTCACGACGCCAACCGTTGGAGTCGATCCCGCCAGGGGAGCAGATGACGTCATACAGAAGGGGTCGGATGACGTCACGCCTAACGGCGTTCATAGCTCTGCGGCGAACGGGGTCCCCCTGAATGGAGATGGCGCTGCTGCGGTGAGGGTGGTGGTTCCTCCTTAGGTCCAGCAACGAAACTACAGGCACTGCCATTCTGCTGTTCCTTCGTTTCCTTCCATCGCCTTTACGGATTGTCCCTTTATCTGTTTGTATAGTGTATTTATTTGGGAGGGAAGTGGTTTCGTATGCGCCTTTTGTTCATGCTCCCTCTTCTCCCCCCCCCCCGCTCCCCCTTTCCTTTTCCCCTTTTCCCCTTCCCCGTTCCCCGTTCCCCCCTCCCCCCTCCCTTCCCGCCTCCCCCCCCTCCGCTAACCCCCCTCTTACGTTGCCTCTGCGAAGGGAGCGGCGCTAGCATTGGAGTCGAACCCAACATCCCCCGCACCACACCACCTCCACCACCACCACCACCACCACCACCAGCACCAGCACCAGCAATCCAAGTCACCCCAGCGCTACCAACAGCAGCAGCAAACGTCGCCGCGTCCCCAAGCACGCTCGCCTGAACCCACCAGATGGCCGCCCGAGCCCCCGTTAGAGTCACACCGTGGAAAAGGGACCGCCAGGGGGGTAACCCGAGAGGGGGGTATACGGGACCCAGAGGGCCCTGGTGAGGGGGGCAGTGAGGCGACGGACGGCTCTTCTCGAGGGAAGGGTTCTGCTGTGGTGTATGCAGCGGAGGGCCCGGTGAGGGAAGAGCGCCGGGACAGTGAAGCAGCAGCGGGAACAGCTGCGGCAGGAGCAGGAGCAGCAGGAGCAGCAGGTGATGCAGCAGCAAGAGTAGAAGAAGTAGCAGATGCAAGTCCAGCCAAAGTGCTGGACTCAGCAACGGGAGGAGCTGCCGCAGCAGGAATCCTAGGAACAGCACCAGCAGCAGCAGCAGCACCAGCAGCAGCACCAGCAGCAGCAGCACCAGCAGCAGCACCAGCAGCAGCAGCAGCAGCAGCAGCAGCAGCAGCAGCTGCAGCAGGAGCAGCAGGCGCGATAGGAAGGGTACCGAGTCCCACAGCCGTGACCAAGCTGCCCGTGCCAGAGTTCTTTCCAGACACCACCGCAGACCCAGCAGACGCGTGGGTTCACCGCCCCCCCGTGGACGAGGGCAAACCTATTAGGTGGCGCAAGGGCGAGCTGATAGGCGCGGGCGCGTACGGGTGCGTGTACATGGGGCTCAATCTGGAGTCCGGCGAGCTGCTGGCCGTGAAGCAGGTGCTGATTCCGTCCGCCTCCACCACCAAAGACAAGGCGCAGGTGAGGGGAGGGGGGGATGGGGGACGGTGGGGGGGGGGAAGAGTGGGGGAATGGTGGGTGACTGCCTGGCTGTCTGGGTGTCTGGGTGTGCTTTGGCCTGCGTGAAAATGCCTGCGTGAAAGGGGGCGAGCTGATAGGCGGGGGCGAGCTGATAGGCGGGGGCGAGCTGATAGGAGCGGGCGCGTACGGGTGTGTGTACATGGGGCTGAATCTCGAGTCGGGCGAGCTGCTGGCCGTGAAGCAGGTGCTGATTCCGTCCGCCTTCACCACCAAAGACAAGGCGCAGGTCTGGGGGGAGGGGGGGGTGTGACTGGTTGCCTGGCTGTCTGGCTGTCTTGCTGTTCGGCTGTCTGCCTGGGTGTCTGGGTGCGCTTTGGCCTGTGTGAAAGGGAATGCGTGGAAGGGCGAGGTGATAGGCCGGGGCGCGTAGGGGTGTGTGTACATGGGGCGGAATTTGGGGCTGATCATGCTTTCATCTCCGCATTAAAATCTCATGGCTTTAGGTGTTCCGTTCGCCTCTTTTGTGTGCGACGATGCAGGAGTACATCAAGGGACTGGAAGGGAGTTCTCGGTAGTGGCCTTGGGGCAATGAGTATGTTTCTCACCTCTGCTATCCTCTGTCTGTGCGACGATGCAGGAGTATATCAAGGGACTGGAGGCGGAGGTGGCAGTACTCGAGAACCTCTCACATCCAAGCATCGTGGTTGGCCTTGCCTTCCTCTCCTCGTTAGTTTCTAGGCTTTAAGTGTTCATTTCACCTCTGTGTGTGCAACGATGCAGGAGTACATCAAGGGACTGGAGGCGGAGGTTGCAGTGCTGAGGAACCTGTCCCACCCGAACATTGTGGTGAGTCCCACTATCCCACAATCAGCACCTTGTTGCACGAGATAGCAGAATTCGTCTTCATGAGGTTCTTTGTGCTGCTCTCGCATCATATAATGACACCTGCTTTGATACCTGCTTTGATACCTGCTTTGACACCTGCTTTGATACCTGCTTTGACACGTGCTTTGACACGTGCTTCTACCCTCATGACGTGTGGCAGCGGCGCTATCTGGGCACGGCGAGGGAGGAGGAGGCACTCAACATCTCATTGTGCTGGGGTGACTTTTGAGTCGACTCAAAAGTCACATCTCAATGTGCTGGCACTTGTTGGCACAATATGAATGAATCTGGCACTTGTTGGCACAATATGAATGAATCTGGCACTTGTTGGCACAATATGAATGAATCTGGCACTTGTTGGCACAATATGAATGAATCTGGCACTTGTTGGCACAATATGAATGAATCTGGCACTTGTTGGCACAATATGAATGAATCTGGCACTTGTTGGCACAATATGAATGAATCTGGCACTTGTTGGCACAATATGAATGAATCTGGCACTTGTTGGCACAATATGAATGAATCTGGCACTTGTTGGCACAATATGAATGAATCTGGCACTTGTTGGCACAATATGAATGAATCTGGCACTTGTTGGCACAATATGAATGAATCTGGCACTTGTTGGCACAATATGAATGAATCTGGCACTTGTTGGCACAATATGAATGAATCTGGCACTTGTTGGCACAATATGAATGAATCTGGCACTTGTTGGCACAATATGAATGAATCTGGCACTTGTTGGCACAATATGAATGAATCTGGCACTTGTTGGCACAATATGAATGAATCTGGCACTTGTTGGCACAATATGAATGAATCTGGCACTTGTTGGCACAATATGAATGAATCTGGCACTTGTTGGCACAATATGAATGAATCTGGCACTTGTTGGCACAATATGAATGAATCTGGCACTTGTTGGCACAATATGAATGAATCTGGCACTTGTTGGCACAATATGAATGAATCTGGCACTTGTTGGCACAATATGAATGAATCTGGCACTTGTTGGCACAATATGAATGAATCTGGCACTGCCTCTGTGTTGCATTCATGTGCGTCGTCTCATGTGTGTGTGTGTGTCGTGTGGTAGCGCTATCTGGGCACGGCGAGGGAGGAGGAGGCGCTCAACTAAGGAGCTGGCACTAGGTGGCACTAGATTCCGTGTCCGGCTTGCTTGCACTGCATTCATGTGTGTTGTATGTGTGTGTGTTGTGTGTGTGTGTGTCGTGTGTGTGGCAGCGCTATCTGGGCACGGCGAGGGAGGAGGAGGCGCTCAACATCTTCCTGGAGTTCGTCCCTGGGGGTTCAATCGCCTCTCTGCTCAACAAGTTTGGGTGCTTCACGGAAAAGGTGGGGCCCTCTGATGCATGTACCTGGATGGATTTCCTTGGGATCTTCTCTTGCACCCCCGGATTCAAAGATTTGTCTTTGAAACTTTGATGCGGATTGAAACATTGATTTGAAACATTCGGCTACCTATTGCATTGAGTTATATATTGGTTGGTGTTTTTGCTGTCTTGTCGTGTGCTGGCATGGCAGGTCATCCGCATGTACACGCGGCAGCTGATGACTGGCTTGAGCTACCTTCACTATAATCACATCATGCACCGCGATATCAAGGTGAGGCTCGCCGCAATGAGTTTCGAGACGTCTCGAACACTATCCACCTTTCACTAAAAGCACAACTGCGCAATGTTGTGAACATGATATCACATCATACCCTTTCCTCTCCCTGATCCCCCCCCACCCCTGCCAGCCAACACTCTGGTGGGCAACAGGGGGTGCATCAAGCTTGCAGACTTTGGAGCGTCGATCCACAACGCTCCTGCTTCTCTCCCTCCGCCCCCCCCTGTTCTCTCCACTCATCTTCCGCACAACCCCCTCCCCCCCCACACCCCAGGGCGCCAACATTCTGGTCGACAACAGAGGGTGCATCAAGCTGGCGGACTTTGGGGCGTCACGGAAGTTAGCAGATCTGGCAACGATGAGTGGGCACAAGTCCATGAAGGGCACTCCCTACTGGATGGCGCCAGAGGTCATCAAACAGACGGGCCATGGCAGGTAGGCGCCTCCTGTGTGTGCTTGTGTGTGTCTCTCTCTGTGTCTGCGTGTGCACAGTCATTGAGATGGCGACGGGCAAGCCACCCAAGAGCGAGATCACACTGCGGAACTCCTTTCCTTCTCCTGTCTTCCTCGCTGCCTCTCTCTCTCTGCATTGCAGGCCAGCAGACATCTGGAGTGTAGCATGCACAGTCATTGAGATGGCGACAGGCAAGCCGCCTTGGAGCGAATTTCTCTCCCAGGTACCATCCTCCTTCCCTCCACATCCTCCTCATCACGTCCTTCTCTTCACGTCCTTCTCTTCACGTCCTTCTCTTCACGTCCCTTTTTCCTTGCCCACGCCATTGCCCTTGCTCACACTGATCAAGCCTGAGCGCTGGTCCACATAGCGCGCACAATCCAAGGGCACCCGCCGCCCATTGCACAGATGTTGGAGCCCATTGCACAGATGTTGGAGCCCATTGCACAGATGTTGGAGCCCATGACCCCCTCGCCCCACCATGTGCCATCCCGAGTTTCCCCCACCCCACCCCACCCTCTCATGGCCCCTCATTACTCAGGAATCAGCGCTGTTCCACATAGCACAGTCCAAGGGCCTGCCTCTCATCCCACAGCTACTGATCCAAGGGCTCTCACCTTATCATGCCTCTCCCACCGGGCCCCCCTCTCCTTGAGCAGGTGTCAGCGCTGTTCCACATAGCACAGTCCAAGGGCCTGCCTCTCATCCCACAGCTACTGATCCAAGGGCTCTCACCTTATCATGCCTCTCCCACCGGGCCCCCCTCTCCTTGAGCAGGTGTCAGCGCTGTTCCACATACCACAGTCCAAGGGCCTGCCTCTCATCCCACACCTACTGATCCAAGGGCTCTCACCTTATCATGCCTCTCCCACCGGGCCCCCCTCTCCTTGAGCAGGTGTCAGCGCTGTTCCACATAGCACAGTCCAAGGGCCTGCCTCTCATCCCACAGCTACTGATCCAAGGGCTCTCACCTTATCATGCCTCTCCCACCGGGCCCCCCTCTCCTTGAGCAGGTGTCAGCGCTGTTCCACATAGCACAGTCCAAGGGCCTGCCTCTCATCCCACAGCTACTGATCCAAGGGCTCTCACCTTATCATGCCTCTCCCACCGGGCCCCCCTCTCCTTGAGCAGGTGTCAGCGCTGTTCCACATAGCACAGTCCAAGGGCCTGCCTCTCATCCCACAGCTACTGATCCAAGGGCTCTCACCTTATCATGCCTCTCCCACCGGGCCCCCCTCTCCTTGAGCAGGTGTCAGCGCTGTTCCACATAGCACAGTCCAAGGGCCTGCCTCTCATCCCACAGCTACTGATCCAAGGGCTCTCACCTTATCATGCCTCTCCCACCGGGCCCCCCTCTCCTTGAGCAGGTGTCAGCGCTGTTCCACATAGCACAGTCCAAGGGCCTGCCTCTCATCCCACAGCTACTGATCCAAGGGCTCTCACCTTATCATGCCTCTCCCACCGGGCCCCCCTCTCCTTGAGCAGGTGTCAGCGCTGTTCCACATAGCACAGTCCAAGGGCCTGCCTCTCATCCCACAGCTACTGATCCAAGGGCTCTCACCTTATCATGCCTCTCCCACCGGGCCCCCCTCTCCTTGAGCAGGTGTCAGCGCTGTTCCACATAGCACAGTCCAAGGGCCTGCCTCTCATCCCACAGCTACTGATCCAAGGGCTCTCACCTTATCATGCCTCTCCCACCAGGCCCCCCTCTCCTTGAGCAGGTGTCAGCGCTGTTCCACATAGCACAGTCCAAGGGCCTGCCTCTCATCCCACAGCTACTGATCCAAGGGCTCTCACCTTATCATGCCTCTCCCACCGGGCCCCCCTCTCCTTGAGCAGGTGTCAGCGCTGTTCCACATAGCACAGTCCAAGGGCCTGCCTCTCATCCCACAGCTACTGATCCAAGGGCTCTCACCTTATCATGCCTCTCCCACCGGGCCCCCCTCTCCTTGAGCAGGTGTCAGCGCTGTTCCACATAGCACAGTCCAAGGGCCTGCCTCTCATCCCACAGCTACTGATCCAAGGGCTCTCACCTTATCATGCCTCTCCCACCGGGCCCCCCTCTCCTTGAGCAGGTGTCAGCGCTGTTCCACATAGCACAGTCCAAGGGCCTGCCTCTCATCCCACAGCTACTGATCCAAGGGCTCTCACCTTATCATGCCTCTCCCACCGGGCCCCCCTCTCCTTGAGCAGGTGTCAGCGCTGTTCCACATAGCACAGTCCAAGGGCCTGCCTCTCATCCCACAGCTACTGATCCAAGGGCTCTCACCTTATCATGCCTCTCCCACCGGGCCCCCCTCTCCTTGAGCAGGTGTCAGCGCTGTTCCACATAGCACAGTCCAAGGGCCCGCCTCTCATTCCCGACCATCTGTCTGCGGACGCAAAGGACTTTCTGCTGCGCTGCTTCCACCGGTGCGGCCCCCCTCTCTGCTACTGTCTCCAAAGGGACTCTCTATCTATGCTTGTGATTCCTTTTGAGAGGTCTTGAAGCCTGTGTTCTGCGAGGTTTTCATGCTGACTTTTGAGTCGACTCAAAAGTCAGATTCCTTTCGAGAGGATTTGAAGCTTGTGTTCTGCGAGGTTTTCATGCTCTCTCTCTGCTCAAGCCTCCGCCACAGTTGCTTTCAGTTTCCCCCCACCACCTCAATTCATCTCGCATCTGTCTGTGCATATATGTTCCCATACCCCTGTGCGTGCCACTCCTCAGTGATCCAAACAAGCGCCCAAGTGCGGCTGACCTTCTCAAGGTAAGCTTTTCACCTAATAGTTTGGCCTGGCACGCTGCTGTGTCAGGTGTTTTTTTTCTTTCTTTCGATCTCCTTTTTCTTTTTCTGCAATGCAATGCATCCGAGTTCTACTGTGTAGCCAATGCGCGTCGTCATCCTCTGCCCCTCCCACCTCCCCTTGTATCCTTCCTTTTCCGCTACCCCACCTCTGTCGCCTTCTTCCCCCATCCCTCTGCTCTCCTCACAGCCACTTGCTCCTCCTCCTCTCATCTCTCTCTCCCACCCCCTGGTCTTCCTTCTTCCCCTGCCCCTCCTCTTGATCACCGCAGCACCCCTTCCTGACAGACATGCCTTCGACCATGGCTGACACTCAGACAACCCCCCCTCGCTCCACCACCACAACAGCAACAGCAGCAACAGCAGTTAAGTCAGAAGCAGTAGCAGCAGCGGGAGGAGGAGGAACAGCAGCAGTTGCGACTGCAAAAGCAGGCACGCCCGCAGATGCAGCAGCAGGCACCCCACTCTCTCCCACTGCTTGTGGGAGGTTGCAGGGGTCAGCTGCCGCTGCTGCCGCTGCTGTCACTGCTGCCAATGCTGCTGCTACAGCTGCTGATTCGACCCTCAATGGCTTAAGAGAGGTCAGTGTCGGTGTCGATCTCAGTGTCAGTGTCAGTGTCGGTATCAGTGTCAGTGTCGGTGTCATCCCATGTCAAACCAGGGTGGTTGCTGTGACTAGGGATGAGCAAGGTGGCGAACACCTGTTCGGTTCGCCTCGAACGTGTTCGAGGCGAACCGAACAGGTTTTGTTTTTTAGCTCAAATCGTTCGCCGAACAGTGCTCGATGTTCGCCCGAACACGTTCGTGTTCGGGCCGCTGCTGAAATTTGCCCGCGACGAACACGAACAGTGTTCGAGGTTCGCCCGAACACGCCTCCACAGGCGAACAGCGAACACCTGTTTTTTCCCAAACTGTTCGCCGAACCGAACAGTGTTCGGTTCAGCAAAAGAGGGTGTTCGACAAGGGGCGAAGACGAACATGTTCGTGTTCGCCCTTTGCTCATCCCTAGCTGTGACAACCCAGTATTCGCCTGTACTGCTGCCAAATCGTTCATCCCCTGTGGCCACATCTCTATCGTCGCCGCATCGATCCCAGCCTTTTTTCTCCCCCTTCTTTCTCCCTCCCCCTCCCCATCCCTCTCCCTCTCCCTCTCCCTCTCCTCTCCCTCTCCCTCTCCCTCTCCCTCTCCCCTCCCTCTCCCTCTCCCTCTCCCTATCCCTCTCCCTCTCCCTCTCCTCTCCCTCTCCCTCTCCCTCTCCCTCTCCCTCTCCCTCTCCCTCTCCCTCTCCCTCTCCCTCTCCCTCTCCCTCTCCCTCTCCCTCTCCCTCTCCCTCTCCCTCTCCCTCTCCCTCTCCCTCTCCCTCCCTCTCCCTCTCCCTCCCTCTCCCTCTCCCTCTCCCTCTCCCTCTCCCTCTCCCTCTCCCTCTCCCTCTCCCCCTGTTATACTCTATGCTCACCACCTGTTTCAGGCACCTCTCTCCCCCACCAGCCCTCCGGACTACTGGCATGACACGCTCCCTGGTAGCCCCTCCCTTGCCTCCCCTCACCATCACCAACACGCACCCACCAGCCCCCGCCTTGCTGACAATACTGACACGCCTACTTCTCGCCTAACACACCACCTGACCCCCCCCACCTCGCGCCTAACACCCCAGAGCACGCACAACTCTCGCCTAACAGAAACCACTCTCCATGACACCTTACAGACGCCTTTGGACAGTGACTCGCCCGACCCTGCTCCTTCTGCTTCCTTCTCCCATAATCTGGCTGATCTTACCCACTCAAGGGACGCTGGGGAACAAGGGCAGGGACACGATTGGCAGGGGCAGAGGCAGGGACAGGGGAAGGAGCAGAGGCAGGAGCAGCAGGGGAAGGGGGGGGAGGGGAAGGAAGGCGAGGGGGTGCGCATGTCACGGGCGAATCTCATGTCAGTAACCAGCACTGCATGGCAGCCTGGAACCTTCTCGGAGCTTTCTGACCTCTCGTTTCGGGTGAGTTTCTAAAGGCGTACACGCGAACAAGTTTTTTTTTTTTTTTTTTTTTTTTTTCGTTCTTTCTTTCTTTCTTTCTTTCTTTCCCCGCTCATCTCTTTTCTCCCAATTGCCCTTCTGCGTCCATCTTCCATACCCCTTCTTCCCCCCTCCCCGTCAGAGCGATTTCAACCCGATGGAGGAGCCATCGCACAACGACCCGCTAGGCTCATACGTGACAGCAGCGCGGGGGCACGGGGGCGAGTCGTCTGCTTGCACTGAGGACGAGGTTACAGGGCCTCTCAGAGAGCACGTGGGCGCGGATAGTGCCTCCCGGGAGGATATGTGCTCTGATTCACTGGGTGGGACGAGCAGTGGAGCAGTGGGAGAGAGGGGAGACCGGGGAGAGGGAGAGGGAGAGGGAAGGGGGAAGGAGAGGGGGGACGAGGGGGAGAGTGGGGAGGTGGAGGGAGGAGAGAAGGAGAAGGGATGGGAGGGGGGCAGGGCTGGTGGAGGGGGGAGGGAGGGGCAGGAGAGGGGAGGGGAGGATTGTGTGGCTGTGATGCTCAGTCGTGGGAGTGCAGGCGGGCAGGAGTTGAAGCAAGGGCAGGAGAGGAAGGAAGGGCAGCAGAAGCTGCCAGTGGAAGGGCCGAGACAAGCGGAGGAGTTGAGAGCAGCTGAGCAGGTTAGGGCAGCAGAGGGGCTGAGAGCAGCAGAGGAGCTGAGACAATCTCTGCCCCAGCTCGACTTATCTCTAGCAATGTCACACGGCCTAGAGGACTCACACGGCCGGGGGGGTCCAGACGAAGCGGATGGTGTGCTGGCAGTGCAGCAGCAAACAGAACAGCAGGCGGAGCGGCAGGAAATGCAGCAGAGAGTACAGCAGGGAGAGCAGCAGGCGGCAGTGGGTGGTGAGAAAATCGGTAGGCCTTCCTCCCCTGCAATGCTGAAGCAGGGTCACAACACGCCAGGGCAGGCCACCGTACCCAGCCGGCCTGCTGGGCTCTCCCCCTCTCCCCGCCGCCATCGCGAGTCCTCTCCTGCCCGCAAGAAGCGGATTCTGAAAGAGAGCTTTGTACTTCCACGGGATTTGTCACCCTCTGCCCGCATGCAACCAGGTGCAGCAGCAGCAGCAGTGACAGGAGCAACGGCCGCTGCAGCAGCAGCAGCAGCAGCAGCAACACCAGCACCGGCAGTGGTGACGGCAGCGGCAACAGGACCTGCAGCAGCCCTCTCTTCTCCCTCCACTGCCACTCAAAGCCCGTCTCCCTCCCTCCCCTCCCCCTCCCGCCGCTCCGCCTCCCCCTCTTCCTCCTCCTCTGCCCGCCGATCCCACCACCTACCTTCCCGAATCATCCACTCGATCAGCCAATCAGCTATCTCCGTTCCTGGACCCGTCTCATCCCCCTCCTATCGCAGCTTTGAAGGGCCCCTCTCAGGGAAAGCAGGGGAGGGGCATAGGGTTACCCGCACCCCCTCTCATGGGAGTGAACAGAGAGCAGTGGGGAGTGAGAGGAGTGAGAGTGAGAGCAGAGGAGGGGAAGGTGGGTCGGGGAGGGCGCCGACTCTTTCCCCTCGGCCGCCTGGGATTGTCAGCAGCAAGTCGGGCAGCTGGGTGAACAGCAGCGAGGGCGACTTTTCTGGGCGGCAGCACCCGGGCAGCTTTGAAGGTTTTGGGCAGGAGGGGAGGTTTGGGAGGCAGGGGAGTGGAGCGTTGCACAGAGGGGGGAGAGGGAGTGTGAGCACCAGTCGAGCATCGGTTGGGGAAGGAGGGGTTGGAGGTTCAGTAGTGGGGTTAGGAGGAGTGGGGAGGGTTTTGAGTGGTGGGGGAGGGGTGCCGGTGGGGAGGAGTGGGTCGGGAGGGAGCTTGTTTGCGAGTGGAGTGGGAGGGGTGATGTACCCTTCTGGAGGGAACGTCTTGGCCCTGCTACATGACAGCACTGACAGGTAGGTGGGGGGAGGTCATGTTTATCCTGTTTTTTTATACCAAGACATTGAGGGTGGCAACAGTTTGGCACTGCTCAGTCGTGGCAGCCCACCATTCTCCTGTTTGCGAACTGCTTGTTGCAATTTTACTGACTCATTCCTGTGGCCTGTCCCTTGGTGACGTCATCTGCAGCTTTGTTGGCCAATCCGGGGACCTCAAGCGACAGCAGTGGGAGGCAGAGCTACAGCAGGAACTGGCATTGCAGCGAGGTGCGTGTGTGTAATAGGATAGCTGGCAAACGAAACAGATCTAGCAAAAGGTCCAGCAGCAACTGAATGTGACTCTCTTGCAGCATTTAAGGCGTGCCTCCTTCCCACCCTCCTCTTTGCTTGGCAGAGGAGAAGCGCAAGCAGATGTCTCGGTCGAGCAGCAACAGCAGCGCTGCAGGAGGGGTAGGTGCCAGCCACGCCAACAGCATCGGCAGCGCCAGCAACGTCAGCGGCAGCCATGCCAGTGCTGTTGGCAGTGCAAGCACAAGCATCAGTGCGAGTGCGAGTGGGTCTCGAGAGTTCTTTGGACCGCCAGGCTCCGTCTCCTCTCCACGCAGAAACCCGCCGGTCTAACTGCCAGGAGCGACTTTTAAGAAGGAGAAGCTTCCAATTGGCTGCCATTCCTAAGATCTTGCTGAGCTGACCCACAAGACACTTCCACCCACCCATCCAACAACCCATCCAATCACCCATTCTAACACCCATCCACCCAGGCTAACCGCTCCTCACTACTAACTTTCCAGCAGCCTCGCCATCTGCAGCAGAACTTGATTACCGGTATAAGACATTCATTTTCTCCATCCACCCTTCTATCCTTCCCACATCCATCCACCTACCCACCAAGGCTAGCACACCTCCCTAACCTTCCTTCGCCTCCAGATTTCTGATTGACCTGAAGCCGCTGCTAGTAAGATGGCCTTGCACCCAGCCCAACCTGACCCAACCCAGACCAACTCAACCCAATCCAGCACACATAAGCTTATGGTAGTGGTGCTGGTGCTTAGTTATTGAGTGCTTCAATTCAACTGCCCCGATTCCTGGTTTGCTGGTGGCTGTTGTGTTGCAGTTTGCAATGCCAGCTGCAAGTGTACTGGGTCGGTAGAGTGGCTGTTGCAACCTAAATCATTATATTCCCTCAACTAGTGTGTTCTTTTGTGGTGTGTTTGAATTCGTAGTGGTGTTTGTTTGCAGAGTATTCTTATTACAGCGCCGCTTAATCACTAGCTTTGCAAGGTGTACAAGGGATGCAGTGTACATGTTATACAACAACGGCAGCAAATTACGGTATACATAGTAGATGCTTTGTTCTACCATATCCCAGTACTGGTAACTTGAATGCTTAATCGTCTTCATCTGCTTTTGAGTCGACTCAAGAGCATTATACATAGTACATGCTATCTACTGTATTCCTGTACTGGAAACTAGAATACTTGCTCCTCTTCATCTGACAGCGAATCATCTGCCAGCTCAGACAGCCAATCAAAAACCTCCAGCTGTGCAGCTCTCCTGACTCCACCTGCTAGTGTCATGCTTGCCTGCTTCACTAAAGGCTGCTCTGCTACTGGCGCTGTTCCTCTTTGCAAGAGCACCTGTGGTGCAGGGTTTAGAGTTGGAGAAGCTGTTGAGGCTGTTGGTGAAGCCATTGACTGCCAGGCAGCACCAGCAGGAGAAGCAGAACCAGAAGCACCAGTAGCACCAGAAGCGCCAATAGCGCCAGCAGCAGGAGAACGGGCAGCTGTAGCACGGTGGTGGGAAGCAGGGGAAGCAGCAGCAGGAGGAGCAGCAGCACCAAGAGAAGGAACGGCAGTGGTGGCAGAAGGAAGAGCAGTGGGAGGAGCAGCAGCAGCAGCAGGGGGAGCAGGGCGAGCAGGGGCAGCAGCAGCAACAGCGGTGGCGGCAGGGCGAGCAGGGGAGGTAGAGTTGGGCCACTTGGCTCGTAGGGCATGGAGGATGGCCCGTGCCTCATGCACCGCTGCTCTCCGCTCCTCAGGCAAACCGGGACTTACTCTCTCACATGCTTCCGGACCGGATTTTTGACAAGCTAATCCGTCAGATGGTTCTAGACCGGACCTCTGACGCTCTAAACTCTCTGGCAATCTCTGACGCTCAAATCGCTCAGATGCTTGTGCCAAGGCTCGTGGTCCTGCTCGTGGTCCTGCTCCCCCTGCTCCTACTCCTGCTCCGCTTCCTACTACTGCTCCCCCTGCTGCTGATGTCTCGTCTGCCCCATGTCCCCCTCCCCGATGCCCTGTCTCCTGCGCAACCCGTGCTCCCTGGCGCATCCCTTTGGCTCTGGCTGGAAGCCCAGCCGACCGGAGGCGGCGGAGGGGAGCAGGGTGGGCGTGGGCCAGGGGAGGGTGTATCAGAGGGGGGTTGAAGGCAGAGACTGGAAAGGAGGGGTTGGTCAGAGAGGGGTTAGAGGCAGAGGCAGAGACGGGTAAGGGATCAGAGGAGGTGGAGTGGACAGGAGGGGGTGGAAGAGAAGGGACGGGAGCGGGACGGATGGGACCAAATGCGAAGAGCTGTGAGAGGAAGGCGGAAGGAGTGGTGGGGGTGGGGAAGAGAGGAGGAGGTGCAGGTGGGAGGAGGAGGTGGGAGGAACTGTGGAAGAGAGGGGGGGAGCCGTTGGAGTCCTGAGAGGGTGGAGTGTGGGGGGAGAGGGAAGCGGGGGAGAGAGGGGGAGTGGAGGTGGGAGAGAGAGGAGGGGTGGCAGAGAGCAGAGGTGTGGGAGGAGGAGGAGAGCAGGAGGTGTGCGGAGACAGGGAGGCTGTAAGCGACTGTGGTGCATTGGTTGGCAAGGCCTTTGGAAGAGGAGGAGAATCAGATGTGCCAGCAACAGCTAGGGCGCTGGTAGCATGAGAGTTGATTGTTGGTGCATGTGAGGTGATTGTTGGTGCATGCGAGGTGATTGTTGGTGCATGTGAGGTGATTGTTGGTGCATGTGAGGTGATTGTTGGTACATGTGAGGTGATTGTTGGTGCATGTGAGGTGATTGTTGGTGCATGTGAGGTGATTGTTGGTACATGCGAGGTGATTGTTGGTGCATGTGAGGTGATTGTTGGTGCATGTGAGGTGATTGTTGGTGCATGTGAGGTGATTGTTGGTGCATGTGAGGTGATTTCCCTTGCATCAACGGAAGGCTTTATGGCGCTGCCAACTGCATCACGAGCATCTGAAGAAGCACCTGAATTAGCACCTGAAACATCACAAGAACCACCAACATGCGCTGCACCATCTGTACTTCCTTGTGGCAACTCTGAGCCGTCCATTAAGCCCGATCTTCTCTGAGAATGCATCACAGCCGTTGATCCTCTAAGAGCCATCTCCCTAAGCTCACACGCCTCCCTGCCATGATGCCACGAAGTCAGCCTATGCACGCTCACACCCCCCACCAACAGAGCTGCGTTTCCTCCAGGTGATTCTTCAGGTAATTTTTCAGGTAAGTACTCTTGAGGCACCGTTGAGAACGCCTTCTCCCGGTCAAGTGATTGGCCACCTGCTGTCCGGCCGTCTTTCGCCAATCCAGGTGCTTCGACTTGCCACTGTTCCAGCTCTGGTGGTGCTGCCGTGTGCTCCCCCAACTGCTCATAATGTCGCTTCTGCGGTGCTTTCAAGTCTTGCTGCCATTGCTTTTGAAGCGGCTGCTGCTCGTGCTGTGGCTGCTGATGCTGCTGCCCCTGCCTACGCCTTTCAACACCCTCCTCACCCTCTCTCCACACATCACCCTCCATCCTGTCTGCCGCCCGCATATCAAATCCCACCGCAACCACCTGCTTGCCACCCAAGTCCCCACCCCTCGCCAACGGTCTTGACAGCCTACCCAAGCGTGCCAGCTGGACTGCCAGCTGGCGGGAGAGCCCTGCCACAGCTGCTTCTGCTGCACCGCCCTCCCTCACTGCATGTGCCCTCTCTGCTGCAAGTGCTGTCAAATGCGCTCTCAGAGTGGCAGCGGCATCTCGAGAAGAATCGAGAATGGTGCTCCTAGATTCAGGTGCTTCAGGTAACCCAGACGTCAATGGTGGCTCAGTTCCCTCAGGTGCCTCAGGTGCCCCAGGTGCCTCAGGTGCCCCAGGTGCCCCAGGTGCCTCAGGTGCCTCAGGTGCCTCAGGTGCCCCAGGTGCCTCAGGTGCCTCAGGTGCCCCAGGTGCCTCAGGTGCCTCAGGTGCCCCAGGTGCCCCAGGTGCCTCAGGTGCCTCAGGTGCCCCAGGTGCCTCAGGTCCCTCAGAGGCATCTCCGGGTGAATCGCGTTCTAAAACGCTCCCATGCGAATCGAGTGCTATTTCTCTCGCATGCACACCACGATCTACTGTGGACGACTCATTCGAACCCTGATAGGGATTGAGCTTTTCAGAATTGCGTGGCATAGAATCAAGGTACGCACTCCCTTGCGCCTGCTCCACACCGCTGCTACTGCTGCTGCCGACTCTGCTGCTGCCGACTCTGCTGCTGCCGACTCTGCTGCTGCCGACTCTGCTGCTGCCGACTCTGCTGCTGCCGACTCTGCTGCTGCCAACTCTGCTGCTGCCGACTCTGCTGCTGCCGACTCTGCTGCTGCCGACTCTGCTGCTGCTGACTCCGGCTGAAATGCAGGAGCTGGTTTGATAATTCTGCTGCTTGTAATCACTACTACCTTGCTCCTGCTCCACACCGCCACTACTCCTTCTGCCTGCACTGCAAGAGCTGCTCTCAGTGCTCTGCTGATTGCAATGATCAATCAACCGCTCCTGCTGCACCACGCTGCTGCTGTTGTTGCTGCTGTTGCTGCTGCTGCTGCTGCCACCGCCTCTGCCTGCATTGCAAGAGCTGCTCTCAGCAGTGTGCTGGCACAGGTGACCCCTCAGATGCCCCCCCTCCATCCCACTGCTGCTGTTGCAGCCTCTGCTGTCACTGCGAGAGTTGCTTTCGGCAATCTGTTCTTGACAGTAACCACTCAGCTGCTCCTGCTGCACTCTGCTGCTGCTATCGCCTCTATCGCCCTCCACTGAATGCTCTACACCTTTGAAACGTCCCAGAACCGAAGTGCACCTGTCAACACTCTGCGGCCTGACCTCCTCACTCCCCGCCTCCCTACGCCCATCCACCTCATCCTTCTCTTGTCTACTCATATCCGCCTCAAAACTAGACTTCTCTCGTCTACTCATATCCGCATCGCCCTCCTCCCTCCCACGTCTCTCCTTCTCATTCCCCACCCCTCTATCCCTATCCTCCTCATCCTCCCCCCTTCCACGCTTCCTCTCCTCGTTTTTCGCACTCTTCTTCTCCCCAACTACTCCCGGCCTCTGACCAAACCCGTTAATTGCTGCTAACTCGCTTCCCCACTCCTCTCCAACCCCCGAACCATCCACACTCTCTCTTCCCACACCCTCACCCTCGATCCTCTCTTGCCCTCGGTTCACCAAACCTCCCTCTTCCCCCACCATCAGTCTCACCTTCCTCAGTTGTGCCTTCACCAATTCCACCTCCCCCATGAGAACCCGCCTCTCCCTCTCCCCACTCTCCACCCGCTCTTCAAGCCTCCGCACCTCCCTCCCCCTCCGCTCCGCTTCCCTCTCCGCTGCCCGTCTTTCCGTCCGCATCTCCTCCATCTGCCGCCTGGTCTCCGCCACTTGCGCCTCCAGGCGCGCCACTTCCGCCACCCAGAATCGCTGCTGCGCGTCTAGGGATTCACGCACTTCCTGCAGGAGTTTTTCCAGGTGCTTTTTGAAAGAAATCCGCTCCGATATAAGCTGTTTCTGTAGAAGCAGAATGACCTGCTCTGGGGTTTGACAGTCAAGCCAAGAAGGAATGAATTCTTGCGCTGCAAGGGGAGCTGGCGCTATTGGTGCTGCGGTTGCTGCTGCGGGTGCTGCTGCTGCTGGGAGTGCTGCTGCTTGTGATGCTGGTCTTGTGGTAGCTCCTGCTTCCGCTGCCGCTGCTGCTCCCGATCCTGATAAAAGCATGGCGTTTCTTACTGGTTCTGCTTCCACAGCTAGCAGTCTACGTGATGGGTGGTCCGGTAGCGCGTGTTCCTGTAACGCGTATTCCTGTAATCGACGTTCCTGGAGCCATCGTTCTTGTTGTCGTCGTTCCTGTAACCGTCGTTCCTGTAACCGTCGTTCCTGTAACGGTCGTTCTTGAGCATGCAGTTCCTGCCGCTGCTGATCCTGTAACGGCGACTCCCGAGGTTGAGATACATGCACGTGGTGTTCCTCTATGGAGTGTTCCATTAACGAGGCTCCTTCGCCCTGCGCTTCGTTTAACGGCAGTGCAGCGGGCGGCATGGCGAGGTGAGGCATTGTTACACGTAACGCTGTAACCAGCGGCATGGCGGCGGCTGAATCTGCTCCCTTCCTCCGTCTTGCTGTATTCCTCGGAGAAAAATTCAGAACAAGGAACACTAAACTCGATAGCCGACAGAGCTTCTCAAGTGCCACAGCAGCAGCTCCACCTAACGACTAGGCATGTGGCACATCCTGTGCTCTCCTTGGGAACATATTCATCTACTTGCAACTATCATACAAGCACATTACGGGAAACCTAGTTACAGTACGGTGCGGACCGCCTATGGATGAATGGAAGTCTTGAACTCCCAGAGTATGTTATAAGTCTTCTGGCTGTGGTCCTGTTTTTTCTGCAGATTTGGTAGACCATTACGTATCGGGAATTGTGTACACTGAAATCTTTTGTATATTGTATTGCAGCATAAGATTTCAGGAATGCATGGAAATTGTGGAGTCGCATCCTTCGCTGACAACAAGTGTGATTCGGATCACACCGCTCATTTGCCATTCGTCAATTTTCAGTCGAAGGACGAAATCCCACCCTTGTACACTCCACGTCATCCAATTTTCCATGCCAGCGCTTCTTGTTTCCAGCTTGCGATTGGTGCTAGTTTATCCATCCGAATTTCGCTTCGCGCTTCTGGGAATCTGATCGGCTCGACAATTTCAAGGTTTGGCATGTGGAGAATTTTCTCCCTCAGCGCTGCTCCTGCTGCGGCTGGTCGCCACCATGCTTGCTCTCACCTCCTCACAACCAAGGAGTTCCTGGCCCGCTCTGGTCCATTTGCCACAACTTCAGCCTCATTGAAGGAGAGCGACTCCTAGCCTGACCACTATCGTTAGGGCTTGAACCGAAAAACTGTTGGTTCGGGGTATTTAAACAGTGTTTTAGTATCCGTTTGGTCCGAGTCGGACGGGTTTGCCTGATCCTTCGACAGACAGTAGCGAGTCACGATGTCGAAGTCGAACGATAAGAAGAAGGAAAAGACGGGTAAGGAAAAGATAGCTGGCCGTCAGATTACTCGTACACATAGCTCTTATGCAGAATAAGTTTTCTGGTTGTTCGGCCTGCATAACATTGATACTGAGAGCCTATTCATGAGATTAAGGCGCGTTGATAACCCATCTCTTTCCTTGTCTCATTCTGCGCTAATTCTACGACGAATGAGCAGCGCTTCTGGATGGCATGGCCACGGACCTGTTCAACCGCGTGGAGAAGCCCATCGAGTACCACAAGCTCTCCCCGTCCGAACACATGGATAGCATCACCGCGATCCATAGGATTCTGTCGCAGGTGATCTCGCATATAGGCTGCGAGAGTAGTACGCACAGCTGGGTGCAGTCACATTTGATAGCGCAAGTGACACGTAAATGCACTCGATGAACAGAAAATGCAGGGTCAAGTTTCGACATAACGTATCATTTAGAGTCTAAATCCGTCGTTCTTCCACCCCAAAAAAATGTCTAGACATCCCTTTACCCTTTAATCGTTTCTCTCGCCAATGAAATCTTCTGCTCTTCTCGCCCTTGCTTGCTCACCCTTCAGATTCAGAAGCACGAGAAGGGACGCCTTTCCACGGAACCACCAGCCGATGCGGCTACTCGTATGAAGTACTTGCAGGAGTGGCTCGAACAGGACAATGTGAAGGTGGGTACCGAGTGAAACGACTGCAGTTGTCGACCATAACCTGCTAAGGCTAGTTTTGTTGACGATGAATTCCAACGACTATGCGATAGACAATGACCTGGACTGGAACGGTAATTTCTGTTGACATCACCAGTAGCGGAACCATGTAGCCAGTCTGAGGTCTGTTTGCTTATGATGTACTGGGGACGGACGCTATCAATTCGGCCAACCAAACACATTGCGACAAATTAACATGTGTTGGGACTCCTCCATAAAATCTCCTGATTGGCTGCTCTTTACTTTCACTAACGCGGACCTTGTGACGTGTCAGATTGACGGGGTCAAGCTCGACGGGAGTCTGCCCGAGGGTCCCGGAGTGGTGGCAACGCGTGACTTCAACGAAGGCGAGCTCGTTGCTTCGTTCCCGTCCGAACTCATGATGACTCAAATTACTGCCGTCCAATCAGTTGTGAGTACCAATCACTTTTAGGCTCAGCTGAAATGTGGGTCCCGCGGGTAAATTCAGACAGTTTCACAACCGCAAGCGTCCATGGGTTTCCAGTTTTTTTCTGGTCCTATTTCTCTCGCTGTCTTCCTGACTTACCTCCATGACTTCCTTTGTTTTTCTTACCACACGAGCAGAAGGACGTGGGGCTAATTCACTCCACGGACGTCTGGTTCAGGGCTGTACCCTCCCTCATCCTCGCCATGCACCTGCTCTTCGAAAAGGTCAGTCCAGCTCTCCCTCTCGAATGCACTTGAATGGTCCATGCGCATGGAAACAGACAGTCCCACACTTCTCCTCAGGCTGCAAGTACCACGCGTATAACGAAAACAGACTTTTGTCTTGTCACATGTTTCACATATAACCTCATCTGCTGTACCGATACCTCCCTTTCCTGTACTGCAGCATCGTCCGGCAGGCTCCCCGTCCAAGTGGTTGGGGTACATCAAGTCGCTGCCAGGCCAGCACTGCCTCTCCGAGTTCAACCAGGATGCTTCCCCCGACGACATCATCCTGCCCCTCGCCTTCAGGTCAGCAGAGGAGATGGTTTTGGATCCCTGTTGCTTCTAAATGGCGGGCTGTAATCATTTGCGCTGCTTACAAGCTCAAAGGCCTATTGGGAATGCATGGTTTTAGCTATGATTTTGCCTGAGATAGTTTCATGCGTTTCCACTTGCGAAGCAATACTTGCCACTGTCCCATTATCTAAAACCCCCTTTCTCCCCCTCTCACCCTCTCACCATCCCCCATCCCCTGCCCGTCTCTCCATGGACTACCTGTCACTGTGTGCCCATCCACCACACCTGCATGGCGTCGCAGTCTCGAGACTGTCTCGCTCCTGCAGGGAACCACGGTATGCCACACAGCCTCTTGCCCCTTCAGTATGTCATGTTTTATGCTGTGCTGTGCTGCACACCATAACCCAAACAGCACCAATGCAGCTCTCTCACTCATGTATGCACGCTGCACACCACACCCGAGTATCACACAGTGACCAAGAGGGTTTAGGGTCTGCCTGAGTACCACCAATTCCCTAAACAGTGGCCAAGCAGCACTATCACATGTGCACAGTGCTGGCCCTTTTGGTTTTGTTGATAAACAGTTCTTCCTCCACTTTATTCTCAATGAACCCTAAAACCCCACAGGCTCTGCCGGAGTACCACCGAATGCTGCGCACAGTGGCCAAGCAGTACTGCCACATGCGCACCGTGCTGCGACAGCTGGGAGTCATCGCAGCCCCCCTCAAGACCGCATCCCGGGAGTGGTTCTGCTATGCCGAGTTCCGATGGGCTGTCTCTGTGAGTGGCGTGATGGCTGTTCTTCAGCATGACGCAAGTGTTTGAATCCGTTGCTGGCGACTTGGGGGGTTATGGACCACCACGTGGCATTTGTTTTCTATAATCAAGTAGTGTCTAATCAGGTTCAGATTCTCCTCGTTCATCTTCTTCTTTTCCTTTGTTCTTTTCTCTCCCTGGTGCTCTATGCACAGATGGTGATGATGAGGCAGACGCAGGTGCCAGTGTCAGCAGAGGCACTAGAGGCAGCAGTGAAGAAGAACCCCAGTGCTGCCGCTGCTGGTGTTGCAGGCACCCCTGCTGAAGCTGCTGCCAATGCTGCTGCTACTGCCGCTGCTGAAGCTGCTGCTGCTGCTAGCTCTGCTGCTGCTGGTGATGCTGTTGCTGGCGATGCTGGTGGTGGTGATGCTGCTGCTGGTAGTGCTGACGCTAGTGCTGTCCCTGCTGCTGACGCGTCAACTGCAGCAGCAGCTGCTGCGCCTGTTCGTCAAGTTATGGCGCTCATCCCCTTTATAGACATGTTCAACCATGAGGTACGTGTACAGTAGGAGGATAGCCTTGTAGGTGGCCAGTTTGCCAAACAAGGGCTCTCATCTCATCCCCCTCGTATCCATGCTTAACCGTGCGGCACGTGTCTGTTTGCTTGTACAGGAGGGTCCTATAACGAGTACGTTTGGCGGTGGGAGCAACGTGATGGAGGTCACTGCCAAGCGCAACTTCAAGGCCGGCGAGCAGGTGAGTGTGACTGTAAAGGAGATAAGATGTGGTTGTAGGTATGTGCTGGCGAACAGGTGGGTGTGATTATATTGGGCTGTAGGGCTACTATCAGGTGTGTGTGAATGTACAGGACTGTAATACAGGACTGCAGATGTGGTACAGAATGCACGGCACTAAATGGGAAACCAAGCATCAGCTCATTTCAAGCATCGCTTAACAATCAGCATGTGCATAACAGACGGTTCCCGACCTAACACCCTAATCTTCATCCCAAACACCACCCCACCAGTGCAATCGCCCCAAACACAAACCATCCATCGGCTATACATGTTCTATGGCTATCGGCCCGACACCATCCATACACCACCCTCCTATCAACCAAGCACCATCGTAGCACCCAGCTACCCATCCATCACCCACTCAACATAACCATTCCACGAGTGCACCTTTTATGTGGCTAGCTTCCACCCTTGATCAGCCGAGCACCATCCTCCAATCACCCAAACACCCGTTCACCATGATCACATCCCATTTTCCAGGTGTAGCTGTCGTACGACTATCACCCGAACATCAACCAATCACCACCCTCTGTTACCTACCTACCCACCCACCCATCCATCGCCTACTCGCCAGGTGTACCTGTCGTACGGCTATCGCCCCAACACTATCATGCTGCTTTACTCGGGCTTCATCCCTAGCTCCAACGACAGAGACCGCTTCCGGTGAGCTTCCACTCCCTGCTGCTCCCCCCTCCCTGCTGCTCCCCCCTCCCTGCTGCTCCCCCCTCCCTGCTGCTCCCCCCTCCCTGCTGCTCCCCCCTCCCTGCTGCTCCCCCCTCCCTGCTGCTCCCCCATCCCTGCTGCTCCCCCCTCCCTGCTGCTCCCCCCTCCCTGCTGCTCCCCCCTCCCTGCTGCTCCCCCCTCCCTGCTGCTCCCCCCTCCCTGCTGCTCCCCCCTCCCTGCTGCTCCCCCCTCCCTGCTGCTCCCCCCTCCCTGCTGCTCCCCCCTCCCTGCTGCTCCCCCCTCCCTGCTGCTCCCCCCTCTCTGCTGCCCCGCACTCCCTGCTGCCCCGCACTCCCTGCTGCCCTCACTCCGCCACGTCCCCCATTCACTGCCAATGATTGCCTCTCCTTATCTGCCTGCCCCTCCTTACCTGCCTGTCACTCATGTTTCTGCCCCTCTCTGTCTGTCTTTGCCCCTCCCTGTTCTGCCCCGTCTGTCTCTACCCCTCTCCTTTCTGCCCCTCCCTGTCTGTCTCTTCCCCTCATCTGCCCGCCAACAGCATACCACTGGAGCTGTCACCCTCCGACCCACTCTACAATAAGAAGGTACGCCAAGTGGCAGGAAGTCAGTATGTACGTAAGTTCGGCTCAAAGAAGAGCCACGTTCGGAGGAAGGTGGGTACAATCTGACATGCTGGTTGGAATGACACAGCTGAAATGGCACCTTTGAAACACGATGTTGTACCCGAGCTGTCTGTGTGGCTCGTTGGTTTCCCCTCATCCTCACTCCACTGCCCCCGTCTCCCCGCTCTACTCGTTCTCCCAATCCAGCTGGCACTCCTCAAGTGGCTGGAGCTACCGCCCTCCACCCATCTGGACCTCTTCTGGACTGGCAAGCCATCTCCGGAGCTGGCCACATGGCTTAGAGTGGCGACCACCACTGATGAGGCGCAGATCACAGAGGATCTGCGAGGAGCCATTGCTGCACGCGCCAAGGAGACAGCTGAACTACTGGAGGCACATGGGAAGGATAAAGGTGAGCCCGTGGGAGGCGTGACAGTGGGCATGTGGTTGTAGGCCAACCACGATGGGCATAGAATGGAGGGGGAATTTTTTCAAGGATGTAAGATGAGTGACAAAGGGCAGAACACAGAGGATCTGCGAGGGTCCATTGCTGCACGCGCCAAGGAAACAGCTGAATTCCTGGATGCGCATGGGAAGGATAAAGGTGAGTGCATGGGAGTGGTGAGGGTGGGCATGTGGCTGTGGTTCAACCACGACAGGAAAAGCATGGAGGGGGGGGATTCTTAAGGATGAGAGATGACTGATGAGACGCATATCACATAGGACCTGCAAGGGGTCATTGCTGCACGCGCCATGGAGATAGCTAAATTGCTGGAGGCGCATGGGAAGGATAAAGGTCAGCACATGTGAACGGAGGAAATGGTAAGGACTGGGGAAACAGGGGTAATGAAGGGTAGATGGATCACAACAGGCCAAAAGAAGAATTGTTCACCATTTGGCCTCCCATTCCGATGAGATGGCTGTACCACTGCTTCACATACATGCCACTTGTTTCATATGCCAAAGGTTGTCCTTTCCTCTCTCGTCTCCTCTCTTCTCCTCTCCTCTCCTCCATTCCTCTCTCCTCTCCCCTCTTCTCTCTTCCTCCAGCAACAACGAACGGCCATGCTGAACCAACCAGCAAACCAGCCAGCAGTGCAGATGTAACTCTGACCAAGGCTCAAGCCGACCTGCTCAGCAGTATCTGCCAACGCAAGCTTCAGGAGCTTCAAGCAGGAGCCACAGCAGCATCACCTGCACCTGCTGGTTTAGGCTTGGGTGGAGGCTTGGACACTCGTTCGGCAGGAGCCAAGGCGTGTGAGAAGGAACTGCAGCTGGCTCGACAGCTAAGGGAGGCGGAGGAAGGGGCTTTGAGCAAGGCACTGGAGATGTGTGGTCTAGTGAGCGCTTAACGTTGCAGAATCAGAGTTGGACCAGAAGTTGTGGAACAGGCTGAGGCGGGAAAGGGCAAATTTCTACATGTTTTGGTTAGGAATATGCATATGCAGTATGCACCATCCAGAGGTGAATAGCATGACATACAAGTTTCTGCATTTATGGATGAGGTTGTGTTCTGAAGAACCACATAAATGGCTGGGGCGATGGACTCCCATGGGTGCGGTGATTTGAGTCCCATTTGGGTGCTTCTGGCATCAGAAGTGCACAAGGACTCGAATTAAATACATTAATAAACTGTAGGTTGTGATAAAATGTACCGTATCACCCCGGATAAAAGAGCAGGTGCGCTTATAATAAAACAGTGTTTTTTAGGGGGGTGCGCTTCTAATTGAGTCATTTTTATAAGCGCATGCGCTTATACCGTATCACCCCGGATAGAAGCGCAGGCCTATTTTAAGCGCATGCGCTTCTATCTGGAGCAATGCGCTTATGGCCGATCCACAATTATAAGCCCACCCCCTGTGAAAATGTAATTTATTATAGGCGCATGTACAACTTTGAATAAGAATTTCTGTTCGAGACGGTAGCGAGTTTCAATTTTGAAGCGAGTACTATCTCATTTTCGCTGAGTTTGACTCTCAAAGACGTGACTGGCTGCGAGTCCAGTCAGGATGTGCTGGCATGACTGCAAAGTGTTGCATCTTGGCCCCTGTGTGCTGGAGAAGAATCGCTTGGAGATTCTACATTGTGAGGCGAAATTTTTCGACTCGGTTGAAATGGCAAGAGTGAAACATGCAATCTGGTGTCTTCAATATATAAATTCGTATATGTCATTATATAAGCGCATGCGCTTATAAAAATGACTCAATTAGAAGCGCACCACCCTAAAAAACTCTGCTTTATTATAAGCGCAGGTGCGTTTCTATCCGGGGTAATACGGTATAATGACATCTACAGGTTTATGATTTTAAGACACCAAATTGCATATTTCACTCTTGCCATTTCAACCGAGTCGAAATTGTGAGGATAGTTGTTGGAAACAATGGAACTTAAACGCTTCAGCAGTGTCGAAACATTGCACCAGAAGCGAGGCAACCTACACCGAAGCACCTGCGAGTCAACCCTCGGAGGTTGAATCGGCTGCAGGAAGTTACGCGAAAGTCAACGGTCGCTGACCCTGGACCTGACAAGAACAGCGCGACAGTTTAGGACACACAACTGACTCGTTACAGAGCAGTTGCCCGAGTCGCACTATATCGAACCGCAACAGCAACAGTAAAAGTAGTTATAACCGTATCCCTTCATATTCCCTGTATTATTATATAAGCTTGTATCTTTTCTCTATAATTAATCTACTTTGCTCTCACACACTAGTGCAAGGTCGGTTCACAAAGCTTCATTAAACGCTTCCGCTATTACAAAGTATCCTACCCAGAATTATCCTCTGCAAAGATCCTTAAGGGCTTCTCAGCCCAACATGGAATGAGAGCTGACAGGGGAAACTCTACCTTTTCAAGATCATTACAAGACATGGCAACAAACAAGGAACGGAGCTCCCCTAATGGCTCCTCGGGCACTACTCCTACTCCACCGCCAGCCTCTGGCCTGCAGACAGAGAAAGGCACGGCAGCAAGACCAAGGGGAACGTCAACCGAGACCCCCACGAATCATCCTTCTGACTTTGATCAGAGCATGATGGAGAATTTTTTCTCCTTCATGTCCTTCTACAAGCAACACCAGCAGTCGGGACCTGCACAGACACACAACAGTAACAACGGAGCGACACCCATGAGCCTTGACGGGTCGTCATATGCGCGAGAGAATCAACAGCAGCGACCCTGAGGAAAACTGAACGAGAATGAGTGAACTATGAAATGAAGTGAGTACAAATATGAAACCCTAATTGGGTTGTACCCCCTATGGGATACCCCACTGAAGCCTACAGAAATGAGTAAGCTATAATGTTCTGACAGACCCCCATAGGCAAAGTGGGGGAGAACAAAGGGTCACAAGACCAGTCAAGCAAAGCAAAGCAAAGCTCAGGGTGGATCACAAAGTAACCACACATTCCGTGCACAAGTTCAAGGGCCACAAGGCCAGTTCAAATGCAAGATCATATATAAAGATATACAAGAGTCAAGCAAGTGAGAGCAAGAGTATATATAGGTGAAGGTACAAGCAAAGTCAAGAAGTGAGCAAGTGAGGCAAGACAGGCACAAGACCCAGCTGCGTGCAACAATGCTGATGATCACAAGGCGCAAGTGCCTTGGTGAAGACATCAGCAGTGTTGGCCTCAGAGGCCACGTACGCAAGTCGCAACTGTCCACGCTGCTGTAGCTCACGAGCAAGAAAGTAGCGGAGAGCAATGTGCTTTGTCCTGTGCTCCAGTCGCTGCTCTCGACACAAGGCCAGCATGGCCTTGTTGTCTACGTACAGGACTGGAGGAGAACGAGGCGGATCTCCAAGGTCGATCAGCAGGTAGGTGAGCCAGCGTAACTTCTCTGCAGCCATAGCCCCGGCGTAGATCTCAGCCTCACAACTGGAGCCGAGAACAGAAGACGAGCGGGTAGCCCGCCACGAAACAGAGCCGGAACCAAGGCTGAAGGAGTAACCCATAGACGACCGCTGCGTAGCCTGGTCGTCAGCCCAAGAAGCGTCCGCGTGCCCAGTGAGGACCACTGGACTACGCCCTCCAAGCACTAGCCCCATGCCCGACGTACTGCACAAGTAGCGCAACACCCTCTTCGCTACAGCCATGTGCTCTGGTCGGTGTCTCCTAGGAGCAACATAGCGTGCGAGAATGCTAAGAGGGTATGCCAGGTCAGGTCGTGTGCAGGTCATCAGGTACATGAGGTAGCCAACAAGCTCTGCATACGGGCCACTCGACTCTACGGACTCATCCGAAGGCAGAGCTGAGAGCGAGTGGCGAGTAGGCAGAGGAGTGGCCTGAGGCGAGGAGTACGTGAAGCCAAAGCGCTGAAGGACCTGCTGCACCATGTGTGACTGAGTCAGGGTAATGGTGCGGCGTGCTCTGTCCCGGGTGATCTGCAAGCCAAGGTAGCTGCGCAGTTCACCCAGGTCAGTGCACGTGTGTCTCTTCTGCAGCTCAGACTTCACGTAGGCGAGTCCAGCAGTGTCAGCTGTGGCAAAGACCAAGTCGTCGACGTACACGAGGATGTAGAACGGCGGCAGAGAGGTGTCGGTGCGCAGAAACAGCGACGGGTCGGCAGTAGAAGGAGCAAACCCAAGTGCCGCCAGCGTAGTCCTCAGTGTGTCCTGCCACTCACGTGGCGCGTGGCGGAGACCGTAGACTGGACGCCGGAGACTCCACTGGGTACCAGGAGGGAAAGACCCAGTGAAGCCAGGTGGGCGACGCAGCCAGATCTCCTCGTGTAGGCTGCCCTGCAAGAAAGCAGTGCTGAAGTCGAGAGAGTGCAGCTCGTAGTCACGGTGAGCAGCAACGTGCAGCAGTACCCGAAGAGTGGTCATCTTCGGGGTGGGGGAGAAGGTCTGAAAGTAGTCAACCACCTGCCGCTGAGTGAAGCCACGAGCCACGTAACGTGCCTTGAAGACAGGCGGAGAACCCGGCGGCCGCTTCACCCTGAAGATCCACATGCCACTGACGATGTTCGCCCCAGGAGGGGGAACATCGTCAACGTAGGTGCCTGTGGACTTCCAGGAAGCCATCTCTGCATCCATAGCTGCCTGCCACTGAGAGGAGTAGGGACCCTCTATCGCCTCCGCGTAAGAGCGCGGAGTCGGGATGTCTAGTGCATCCGGGTCTCCCTCAGGGGCTAGCAGTACAGACGCGAGATGAGGTGAAGCGGCGGCCAGACAGTGGAATGTCAGAATATTATTCTTATGTTCTAGCTTGTAGTGGGGTGCTCTATAGCGAGTACAACCCTTCTAGGGTTTGCTATTTGTATCCCCATTTCTGCTAGTTCATTCCTCTCTCTTTTTTTTCTTCAAACTTTAACATGGAACTCCTCCTGCCTGTCCTCAAGGACATCCGTGCCAAGGGCACACTCACCCCCGACGGACGGAGGACAGGCCGGCTCAGACTCAGCAACAAGACTAGCAGCGTAGTCTAGACGGCAGCGCGCAGCAAAGTCGACGAGCTCAGTGACAAGGGCAGACGCAGCAGACGACTCGAAAGAAGGGTCAGTGACAGCAGTAGCAAGGAGACGCGTGACAGTAGGACTGGCAGCACGAAGAGAGTCCGACTCCGGGTCGGCAAGAGCAGGAAGAGAGGAAGCAGGAGGAGAAGGCAAAGGGGCACGCAGAGGAGCAGTGGACGGACGCAGAGACATCCGGTGCGTGCCAGGGACAGGAGGAGGACGCTGACGCGAACCGCGACCACTAGTGCGCGCAGTACGAACAGGCGACGCAGGACGAGACGCAGGCTCACGACGCTCTGTAAGACCTCCAGTCGGACTTGTGTAGGGAGAAGGAGCAGGCAAAGGGGAGGCAGGCTGTAGCTGTGACTGTGACGGGACAGGCTGTGGACCCTCTAAGGGAGGAGGAGGAGGACCAGGAGAAGGTGTAAGACCAAGAACCTGCTGCAGGAGCGGAAAAAAGTACGGTTGGGGCCGTGTGGCGACGCCAGAAACAGCAGGGACAGCACCAGTACCCCTAGGAGGAGTACCCACTCCAGCAGCACCTCCAGCAGCACCTCCAGCAGCACCACCAGGAGCACTGCCAGTCGGACCGCCAGCGGTAGTCTCAGCGCCAACACCCTCAGCAACACTAGCTCCAGGAGAACCCTCAGACCCAGCAGCTCCAGCACCCACAGCACGAGCACCTCCGGGATGCTCGGCAGCAGCACCCTCTGCAGCCGAAGAACCTCCAGCACCAGCAGCACGCCTCCAGCGCCGGGCAAACCACTCACGCAGCTCCTGTGGGGAGAGTGGCTCTCGGCGAGACGAAACACCGCCAGGCGGAGCACCCCCAGTCTCAGCACCCCCAGGCTGAACACCCCCAGGCCCAGCACCCCCAGGCTCAGCACCCCCAGACT